CAGGCCCTTTAAAGAAAAAAGCCCCCCAAAAAAAAAAAAAAAAAAAATTACAATCCTTGTCCAAAAGGCTCATTTTAGGTGCCTTCCATATTTTTAATACATGGTTTTGGTTTTAGGTTGGCTTTGATATGACTAAAGGAGCTGCCAGAAAATGCTACGAGAAATCTGGCCTGAGACCAAGTGATGTTGATGTAATAGAACTTCATGATTGCTTCTCTCCCAATGAACTCCTTACTTATGAAGCACTGGGACTCTGTCCAGAAGGTAGTAACCTTGTAGAGGGCAGATCAACTGGGTAGCGTTCACTGAGAAAGCTTCACTTTAAGTTTTGAACCAGAGAATTCACTAGTTGTTTTTCCTTCTATGTTGGCTCTTAAGATAGTTTGGTACTGGGCTTTTTGTAACACTGTCTTGGACAATACCTTCCCTGAGATAACAGAGTGCGCAAATAATTTGTATATGTAAATCAGATATTTGTAATATACTGGTAAATGAAAAAAAAAGATATAAAATTAATTTGTAATTCCAACGATTTAAAATTATGTTTGAATAAAGATTGGCAGAAAGCTAAATGGAAAGAAGTAGTTGATGGGATCTGGAAAAAATTTATTTTTCATTTCTAAGTGGTTGTATGAAATCTTCTAATGCATCATAGAATTGTAGATTTTCTTGTGGAAAAAAACTTATGGTAAATTATACCCTTCTTGAGGTTAGTTTGTGATCAGTCTGCTATTGGTACAATAGTTAGCCGTTTTGAAAATAGCAATAATAGAATTTTTGCTATGGTCAGAGCCTTCTAGTAGCTCTACATCAGAAGTGTACCAAAATGTGAGAGAGAGAATGCCTGATCCACTGGCTTTTTTATTTACAATCTAGATTTAAAGCCAAACGCAAGTGTTAAGTCACATATACAATTCTGGATTAATGTATTTCATTTTACCAATAGAGTTATCCTTTTGCTTTTGCAGGTAATATAATGAACTAGATAAGAACACAGACAGCCTGTCTGAATATTAATCTAGACCTCTTCTGGTGTTTTGTCTGGCTACTTAATGTCTGTGTGTCTGTTTTTATTAAAAATATTTTATTAAATATATTTATTGATCATACTGCAAAACAGTTGAAAATGAAGAGAAATGGATAAAATTTGGCAATTATGACCTTCTTTTTGGAGAGAGATTTTTACTAGAGGGTGTGTGCACTTGCCAGAGATACGGAGTGAGACAGAGAGACAGAAAGCAAGAAATCACCCCCAATCCCTTCTCCTGCATTCTCTCTTAGGATTTTGGGCATGTGCACACATGTGCCTGGCCTGAATTTTAAGCCACTGGGTCTGGGACTCGAACTGCTGTTGGCCATGTGGAGGTTCAGCATGTTTACCACTATATTACCTGACAGCACCAACAATTATGAATTTTTGATGTTGGCATAATTATTTTAGTTATAGCAATAATATTGTGTTCATTTCCATTTTTTTTCCTGTTCTCGGAAGCTTTGCTATACTTGGAGCAATTCTGGAGGCCAGAGAGCTCTTAGGAACTAATAGGAGCTTTGTTTCATGTAGAAAATGTTCTAAAAATATAAGTCTTAATACTCAATGGTTACTACTCAACTTTTATAAGTGTTTATATCAAATTGCTGTTAGTTTGAGCTGTTATAAAATGATTGCTCCCAGAAATTCTTGACTATATAAAAACACACCATTTGGGGCCTAGCGGGTGGTATGACGATTGAGGCACTGGTCTTCCACAGGGCCGTCTGCAGTTTGAGTCCCAGACCTGATGGCTTGCTTTTTCACTTTATCTTTCTCTCTCAGGTGAATAAGCCTACCCTATAGCAAATTAAAGAAAAAGTAATGATGATAATAATAAAATTAAATACATTATTTTATTTTTTAAAAATAATTATCTTATTTAAACTTATTTATTTATTTATTTTAATTTGACCAGAGAGGGACAAAGTGAGAGAGAGAGAGAGAGAGAGAGAGAGA